TTGGAGATGATTATATTTTATAATAAAATGACTGAACTTAATCTTTGCAAGTGTAACCAGCGTTTGATCTTTAAATCTAACTCGATAGCCTTCATAGTTCAGGTATTAGTTAAAAAGAAAAAAAGCGAAATGTGTTCTATTCAACAGTTTTTTAGGTTCATTTAAACCAGTCGAATTGATTCAAAGGAGTATAAAATGTGTGTAAGAACGATAGTCACATTTGTTCCTCTACAGAACTGGGTTATCTAATCCTTGATTGAAGACTCACTGTGGGGCAAGGAAATTCCCAACCCCCAGATTTAGAATAAAAATGCATATGTGTGTATTTTTGTCCCTTATTGCAGGAGGCAAACAACCCTGTCTGTATTAGAGTCATCCATCAGTGGAGAATACGAGCTCATGCTTTTTAAGGCTTAGAGGGTTCTTATAATTAGACAAAAGTGTAAAGAAGCTCGTGCTGCTTAGTTACCTGTACCTAGTAATGCTTTTTGATGATTTATTAAAGAGGGTACATCGTTTCTATGGATACCATTGAAATGCTGTAGTATCTTTTATCTCAAATATCTTGTGCAATGCCATATCTATCCTTGAAAAGCCCTCACAGTCTGATTTGTGCATAGATTCTGACCTATGATAACCCCTGCACTACAAGGAGCCGTTTTTTCAAAACATAACTCATTTTGACTTATTTTTCTTGTACATTTCAGTCATATATCTGCTCAGTGCACTCACCTGTTTGGCAGAACCTGTTGCACTAAGATCACAAAGATGTAGATCACACGCAGCCATTGTCATTCAAATGCCATATCTGTGACTGCAGCTTTTATCAGGCCTAATCGCTGTGTGGACAGGTATTACTGGTGGACTATGATGCTATATGTTAACTTTGATATGTAAAAGGCCCATCTGGTCGCTTGCAAACAACATTATCTTCAGAGGAGAGAATACAGCAGGTATACGGCTCTGGCTTTCCCATCTGCTGGTGAGGATTAAACTGCTGCATATCTTCAAAGAGCAAAATAGCAAAAGTGGGATGGGAATAACGACACAGATGCACATGGGTAAAAGTAAGATTTGTAAGCTTATTATTTTTGTTATGATCGTTGTTATAACCTCTGTTACAGTCTGTTCAGTTTACAGTATTTTCAAGTTCATTTAAATCATTCCAGTCAAAGGTAAACATGATTGTAAATGGTTGTTGCCAACGCTCGTAAATGCTTTTGTTGTTTTGCCAGACGACATTCAGTCACACACACTGAAATAGCAGAAACAAATATTCTCAATCATTTCACCATTCATTTCACATGGAACAAAAAATACAGCATTTGACTTTGCAGGGCTGTATTAGCAGATACAAACAGCATGGAAGCTACATGTTAGGCGACACAAAGGCTGAGTGGTTAGCGCTTATGTTTCGGAGCAAAAAAGGTCCTGGGTTTGAATCCCGGGTGGCACAGGGCTATTCTAATCTCCCTGTGTCTGTGTAGGTTTTCTCAGGGTGCTCCAGTTCCCCCTATCGCTCTTAGCCTTTTGCATAAACCCATGTCATACTACTGCGTCTCACCTATTGTCTACAGTTACAGGATGTGTTTATTTTAACATTGTCCATCATTACCAAGAAAGTGGTTTAGAGCCATAGACTGTAGCAGGAGTGGACTAACCGAGAGTTGATGTCACCCCAAAGTGTTTGAGATCATTTAAAAAGGCTCCATGGGCGTGATTCTGGAGCCAAATTTGGGGAAAGCAACGACCTAGCAACCAAAGAGCCAATCAGAAGGCAGACTGCTCAGAGAAGACTCCTGATTGGTGCTTATGAGGGATCCTATCTGGACTTAAAAACACTAGGATAATGTAGAGCGATAAACATGGATTTTTAGGCCCAAAGAGTGATAGGAGACAAACATCCCAATTTGGCTTCCTAGAGCTAGCAGGTTAGCACTTCTCCTATATACAGTCTATGTTAAGAACCTATATTTTTGTATGAATATTGACAGAGAGACAAAATATGCATTGATCCATCACTGCCCCATGCTCTTTCTATCACTAATACTACTTTGAAAAGACAAACGCCACCACGACTTCCTGAAGCACTCGCTACTAAAAAAGGACACATGCATTTTCACACTTTCTTTCGTGTCTACGTTTATAAGTGCAATTTCATGAAGAGTGATAAACTTTCTTATACAGATCTATAAACCACATCGAAAGACGCAATGCAACCCCCCGCGCCACTCTGCACACCTGGGCTGGACCACTCCTAAGGATGCCAGACAGGGGTGAGTATTATGTTTGTAATAGTAAACTGACTGTGATTGGTCATAGCTGTCATGGTGAGTGAGTGACAGCGGTGTGGAACCAATCAAACACATTTACTTAACATCCTATTAAGGCATTGCAAATCAACAAGATAAATCGGGATAAAGTAAGGCATTGTTAATCATAATGCCCACCCCTTCTTTTGGTACAATGGAGTGTCAGTGGCTGGTATGGAGATGTAAAAGAGCAAAATAAAAATCAGGAATTACATTATGACAAGCTATGAATGCAGATTGCATGATAAAAAGCCAGAGTTGACTTTTGCAAATTGTATATATGCAATGAAAGATGTTCTATAGATACAATGTCGGCCTGCTTACATGTGCAAGTGTTTTGGAAGTGCGGAAAAATTCAAATACAATTCTATACTAGTACCCGAGACATTTTACTGTCCCGTTTTGCACAATTTTGAAGAGTTATCAAATTACTGACTTAATATTATGGTTATTGTAGTCATACAAAAATAATTGAAGATTTTGTTTCATTATCGCCTTGTATTGTTGTAAATTGCATTTCATAGCTTTGAGATGTTCAGATCCAGAGGACAAGCCTTGACTTTCACTATTTCTATCTGACAGTGTGTCATAGCTGTATACCTGATAACATTTTGCTTTGTCCAAACAAAAGGCAAGACATAAACACAGGACAAAAGAAAAAAGTCACTCTCCATAGTATATTTTTTCCCCTTAGAAAAAAGACATTTGACATATAGTATCTCAGCCCAAGTCCACATTTGGCATCCACAGTTTTCCCCCTTTAGTTCAACCAAATATACATCACATCAACAAAACAAAATCAGATTTAAAAAACAAAAACAAAACACAACCACAACAAAACTGCAATTCAAGTTTGTTTAAAAAATGCTTACATCGACACCTCTCCCTCTCGGCACATTATAGCTTTAATACCATTCTTTGTCTTTTTTCTTCTTTTCGAACATTTACAATAGATTTTCACCAACATGCCGGCGGGTTTTCCATCACAGTCATTCGAAAGCATTACCATCGCCTTGGCGTTATCGTCGTCAGCTACTATGGTAAGCGAGCTAGGCCCTACTGGAGCCCAGATAGGGGAACCCGTGGTAAGGTGCTAGTTGCTAAATGGAAAAAACAGCTATTCTGATGGTATAGCTGCTTATATTAGTGAATTGTTGAAATCTCCCCTCCTCACCGGACCGGTCTGTACCATATCTTGTTGCGTTTGTCAATATTTCTTTTTTTGATATTATTTATATGAAGATGCACACGCAAAACAGGCACGCATGTCATGACATAGTCTCTTTACGGTATGATTGTGCACCCATACATTACGTGGAGTGAGGCGGTGTTATTTTTATTTATTTTTTACATAGAAATAGGCTCATACGACAACACTTTGAACAAATGCTTATGATTGCCTGCTCCCATCGGCTCCCAAAAGTATTTCTATTTTTATTTTTTTTATTTTTTTGAGAAGGCGAAGTTGGTATTGCTGAGTATATCCATGGCTGCTCTCCTGGCCCACTTCCGCCATGTGCTTTGATAACCTCAGAAATGACAGGAATAAAACGATAGTACAAAAACATAGAGGTCCTATATTATGCACAGAGCAGCTCTAGCGGTCAAATAGACACGTTCGAATAGATTTATACCATTTCCATGTTGAGGTTAATCCAGCATCTCCAGATTGTAAAATTCTTGTTGCTTCATACGCTTTTAACAGCTAAAATTTCAAACCGTAAGATGAAGCTTAGTTTGGAAGTTTAAAGCTTATGAGGTTAAACTATAGCTTCTTTGAGGGTCTAGATTCTACTTCTTTAATGAAACTCCTTGTAGCCAATTATCAAGACATGGGAAAGCCTTTTACATTGCATAATATAGAACCGTTAACAAGATGGCACATGAAAATTTCTTACACAAACAATTGGTTGATTAAATGCTTTGTACGTTTTCCCCAGACCCCCTCTCAGTCCGTTGCCTTCATTTTTAGAAGTTTTGACGATGTCCACGTGATGTCAAAACAGTGCAAAGATGACAACTAAAACTGGCATTTGAAACGTCCGGGGATGTGTGTTTGTGTCTATGTCTCTCATCTAAAAGCTACTTTGAATCATACACTGAACCAAAACGGTCCGTTATCTGGTCCCTCAGGTTTTTAGACTGGGTTTGCTTCCTTCTCCCAGCCGCAGAATTAAAACAAAAAAAAAGGCCATTTCAATTTGGTTTAGTTCTGTTTGTCGCTGGAAACTCTGGTAACTCACCCCAAGGAGGAGTTACTGCCAGTGTGATCCGTGGAAAAAGTCTTCAGAAGCTTTCCAATTAGGTGGGTGGATTTAATGCTTGCTTTTTGTTTAGATTTTGACTGCGCCGTTCCTGCCGTTTAAATGCTTTGCAGGATCAAACAGGCCGGACGTGTGGCCTGTTTCGACACTCGCACCTGCTGTTTTGACTGACTTAAGCGTGATACACAGTTCTGCTTTTGACAGTCAGTGCCTTAAGGCTTGGAACTCACACACGCCCAGCAAACGCACACACACACACACACACGCACGCGCAAACCCACACACACTCGCACAATTAGAAAACTTCAATCATTTTGGTCTTCTTGTCTTTTTCTGATGCACCCTCCCTGTCCTGCGCTCTCCCGGGAAGTCGCACCTGCCCCCGGGGCGAGTTGGCACGGCCGCACCGATGGCTGGGTTGTCGCTAGGAGACGAAGAGCGCGGCGAGGAGGAGCATCGTAACCGTGAGGAGAAGGCGATCGCGGGACGGACTGCTGCCGCTGACGCTCTTCTCCAGCTTCGGCACAAATGTGTTGTAGTCGTCTGGAACAGAAGGAACAGCAGAATTGGATTTGACACTATATTCTCAAGTGTCATTTGTTATTCGTCCACAAAAGAATCCAAATTTATTTATGAACAAAGTACAATACAGAGCATAAAAAATCAAAATAATTATTTGATTAATTTTTAATAGGTCTGTACACAACCTGAAGAATGACTTTGAGATCATTTAAAGAGTCAAAGAGCAAAACATATTTAACTGAAATGTAATGTAAAAAAAAATGTAAAAAAGAGAAACCTGGGGGAGAATCAAATGGAAAGAGTGATCTACACTTGAAATCTGATCAAATCCGATGCAGATTTGAAAAGGTCTGAATCGGAAACGTTACAATACATTTGATGCGCAATTTATAAAAACTCAAAGAAGTTTGTTTTGATAGTTCTGCAAACCACATATGGGCCCTGCGTAAGTCTCTACTACTCTCAAACGCTTCAGGATATCAAAATATAAATAATAATAATTGACCAATCAGGTGCTCTCCGTCCCTGAAGTTTGGCCGTAACTACTGTGGGCGGCACGGTGGCTGAGTGGATAGCACTCTCGCCTCTCAGCAAGAAGGTCCTGGGTTCGAATCCCGGTTGGACCAGGGCCTTTCTGAGTGGAGTTTGCATGTTCTCCCCGTGTCTGCGTAGGTTTCCTCCGGGTGCTCCGGTTTCCCCTACCACTAAAAATATGTACAATAGGTCTGGCATGTGCCTCCTGTACTGGCGCCCCCACTCCCAAAAATAACAATTGTAAACCGCTTTGAGACTCCGATGTGCAGTGAAAAGGCGGTATATAAATAAAGATTACTACTACTACTGCCTTGTTGATTAACGTTGTGATTGTAAAGGGGGAAACCTCCCTCCTGATTGGCTCTTTGGTTGCAATGAAACTTTAATTTTAGATATGGAACTTGGCCACACATTAGCCAGCAGTATGGCTAGCACAGAATGGCTGCATTGTTCTGGATCTGAACGCTGTAGGCATCAGTCTAGTCTTCAGTCTATGACACGCATATTCAAAAGGAGAAAGATCTCCTTTGAGATTCTTTGACTGGTTCAGTCCTGAATAGATTTTGCTTTTCTTTTCCGTTTTCTACCTTGTTGGAGTCCGCATTGAAGTCTGCTTTCAGTACTAAGTTTACAATGTTGGGCTTTATTGTATTGTTTTCTATCTAAAGTAGAAATGATATGTGATCCAGTGATGACAATATTTAGAGTGGCACCAAATTGTGACATAAGTTGTGGCATCTTTTGTAAACAGCAATCATACATATAACAATGTAATAAATAGCTTTCAATAGGCCTGCATGGATTCAACTTGGCACAATCTTGCGGTGTATGTTTGAGTCTGGTTCACTTTCTCCTAATGAAACAATAACACAGTGTTGCCCAGTAGAGTGCTGTAATTGTGCTGATAAAGTGACACATTCTGTGTCTGACACCTCTCCCCCTTAAACCCTGGTACTCCCAGTATGGGCCCGAGTGCATCTGCTGTGGACCAAAAATAAACCTTTTCATTAGCGGTGAACAAAACACTTACTAGACAGTACCTCACAACACATGCTCCCAAAAAACGCCCAAAACACTGAGTCATCCAGTTACAAAGACAGATGAACTCACTGCGAGGTTGTCTTCAGGGCATCTGTGCTAAAGCAGCTGCTCTATACTGTTCATCTCATGTAATCCTAAGTAGAAGTAATGATTACACAAACATACTTGTGAGTTGTAATTGGACAGATACAACATGACGGAAGAATGACTACACAATGACACACATGCATGACACGAAACAATATGTATCTAAATGTAGAGAACCTTCAATTCGATACAATATTTTTCACACACAAAAAGTAAAGACTTTTGGCCCTTGATCCAATGCTCCACCACATTTTAACCAAATACAGCATATTAATAATTGTTAAAGTCACATTACAAAAAAAAAATCTAAAATAGATGTATATGCTTATATTAAGTATATTTGTAAAACTTTGTAAAAGTATTAGTTCCAAATTATGAATCAATATTACTTCATTCAAAATATGCATAATGAATATTGCTTAATCTTAAAATAGTATATATAATATTTATACATTTTAAGCACACCTCTAGTGACTCTTGTGGGTCCTTATTATGTGTTTAGAACATTTACAAACTAATATCGATCTACATTGATGTTATCAAAGGCCACATGAAAGGCTTTTCCGTTACATTAAACAAATCAATACAAACAGAAGATTAGTTAAAGTTCAGGGCAGCAGTTGCTCCGTGGTTAAAGATATGGTAGAAGTGAATGTACTGTGAGGTACTGTGAGGTACTGTGATGTACTGTGAGGTACTGTGATGTACTGTGATGTACTGTGATGTACTGTGAGGTACTGTGAGGTACTGTGAGGTACTGTGAGGTACTGTGAGGTACTGTGATGTACTGTGATGTACTATGATGTACTATGAGGTACTGTGAGGTACTGTGAGGTACTGTGATGTACTGTCATTTTCATTTTCATTTTTTTATTTATTTCATTCATTTAAAAACAAATGCAACAACAGCATTTAGCATGAATGAAAAGGAGCAGAAAGAAGTAAAAACTTATAATGTCTGCCCCCTATCAACACAAAATCATTTACAGTTCCAGTTCATTTAACTTTTAAGCTGTCTCATGCAGCCCTCTTTTTCCTTTTCTTTTTTTTTTTTTAATTTTGGTCCAAGACATCAAAACACAAAATACGTAAATAAAGTTGATCCGCTACTCCGCAGTATCATATTTCTGTAACATTGATAATTTAACATACTTCTTAAACACGCAAATGGACTTAGAAGTTTTAATTTTACAATCAAGACTGTTCCACAGAGCGACACCATTGATTGATATACATCTTTCCTTTACAGCCGATTGAAACCTGGGTTTTGTAAAAACCTCAGTACCTTTTAGATCATATCTACTTTTTCTCTTAGTGAATCTGTTTTGCAAATTGTTTGGTAAATTTTCCAGATGAGCTTTATACATGACTTTTAGTAGGTTAAACTCTACTAATTCGTTAAATTTAAGCGTTTTTAGTTGTATGAACAAAGGATTGGTATGGTACTGTGAGGTACTGTGAGGTACTGTAATGTACTGTGAGGTACTGTGAGGTACTGTGATGTACTGTGAGGTACTGTGATGTACTGTGAGGTACTGTGATGTACTGTGAGGTACTGTGATGTACTGTGAGGTACTGTGAGGTACTGTGATGTACTGTGATGTACTGTGAGGTACTGTGAGGTACTGTGAGGTACTGTGATGTACTGTGAGGTACTGTGAGGTACTGTGATGTACTGTGAGGTACTGTGATGTACTGTGATGTACTGTGAGGTACTGTGATGTACTGTGAGGTACTGTGAGGTACTGTGATGTACTGTGAGGTACTGTGATGTACTGTGAGGTACTGTGAGGTACTGTGATGTACTGTGAGGTACTGTGATGTACTGTGAGGTACTGTGATGTACTGTGAGGTACTGTGATGTACTGTGAGGTACTGTGAGGTACTGTGAGGTACTGTGAGGTACTGTGTACTGTGAGGTACGTGCAGAGCAGACACCAGAAAAGTCACTTGGTACAGCAAACAAACCAAAACAAACTGGACATTTTTTAGTGTATGTAACAAACTAACACAAAAGTCAACTTCTGTCTTTAATAGTTCCACTCATGTGTCAAAGGAGGTGTCTTTAGCACAGTGTACGCTCCAGGAAGGTGATGTCAATAAGTGTCATGACCCACTGCTGGCGAGACGGTGAGTGAGGAAACTGTTACATAAAACACCTATAAATGTTTGTCTTGTCTGTGAGAATAAGTGCGTGTGTGTGTCTTGTCTTGGTCTCATCTTGGTCCTGTCTAGTCTGGTCTTGGTCTTGTCTTTTCTCATACCATCGGTGATGTTGTGTGAGTGTCTTATTGCTTGTGTTTTGAAGGCTACAGTAGGGTCTTGATTTTTTTGTTGTTGTATTGTATTGTAGTATGTGTCTGATTGACTGGATTGGATCAATAAAATCTTTTTGCTTCATCCAATCCTTTTTCAGTCTATGCACAGATAATTTTCTGTTGTCATTATTTAATTAAATTTTGTTCTTTGTGTATCTTGGGAAAGTTCCAGTGAATACTACAAAGCTCAGCTGTGTTTTTGCGTTTTGATTTTGAAGTAGAATTCAATATGACCTTTTCTTATAGACAAATGGGACGCATGGTTTTAAAAACTGGGACCAATCAATAGTTTTTGATGTACTACGAGGACATTGAGAACTGAGTCCGTCTAAATAAGCATGTGGGACTCTGCCATTAATGCAAAAAATACTTTTGGAAGCACAATTACAGCTTCTATCTCAAGTTACTGGAGTAAATGGAACACCTCCACTGGTCAGAAAGGGTTAATCTATGATAGCATGTCTCCGTAGGACATTAGCAGCTGCGGAGGGTCAGTAATAGCGGCTGACACCTGGGTTTAAAGATGCTCCTCCATAGCTCTTCTAATGAGGTCCATGCAGCAGGTTAAACGCTTTGACCGCAGCGTAAGCGAGGAGGTCACAGCAGGGGGATCGCTGACAGGGGAATATGCCACAGACACAGACACCACCAAATCTGGTACAACTGGTTAAAGCGCACGGCTGCAGCTAATAGGGTTATTACAACACAGATATCGGCTGTCAGGAACTGTCAAACAAGCATGATTACACACTGTACAGATAACGGGCTGAGCGAGCAGTGGATGCACTTCATTGGTTTGGAAGATGTGGCGCTGTGTGTGCACCTCTTTATAATGATATTGTCTGGTTCGTGTTCACGTTTGAGTTTTGGCTGCTCTGAACTGACTGAGGGCGCAGTACCATTGCTCACCAGGAGAGGGAAAGAAATTAGAAAACATGTTTTACAAATACATTTTGTATGTAGAATACAATACATACATTTATATACTCTGCTACGTTCTCATATTAAGCATTTTGTCAGATTTATTTTGTTATATTGCAA